TTATGCATCTGACAAAAGCCTAACCTCCAGGATCTACAAGGAACTCAAATGAATTGACAGGAAAAACACAAAAAACACCATTAAAAAGTGGGCAAAGGACATGAACAGGCACCTCTCAAACATTCAAGCAGCCAACAAACATGAAAAAATGCTCAGTCTAGCTGGGCTCGGTGGCTTAGCCTGTAATCCCGCGCCTTTGGGAGACTGAGGTGAGTGGATTGCCTGAGCCCTCGGGTTCGAGACCCGCCTGGGCAACTTGGCGAGCCCTCATCTCTACAATAAATCAAAAGTGAGCCGGGCGTGGTAGCGCGCGCCTGTAGTTCCAGCTACTTGAAAGGCTGAGGCGGAAGAATCACTGGAGCCCAGCAGGTCGAGGCTGCGGTGGCCAGGAGCAGCCACTGCACTCCAGTCTGGGCGACAGAGTGAGACTCCAACTCAAAAAAAAGTCAAAAAACAACTGCTACTGGCATAGGTGTGGAGAAAAGAGAATGCTTCCACACTACTAGTAGGAATGTAAGCTAGTTGTGGAAAGCAGTGTGGTGATTTTTCAGAGGACTAAAAATTGAACTATCATATGATCCAGCAACCCCACTTCTGGGAATATCCCCAGAGGAACATAAATAGCTCTACCAAGAAGACAACTACACACATATGTTCATTGCAGTACTATTCACATGAGCAAAAACATAGAACAGACCCAGCCAACCACTGGAAATGGACTGGATAAAGAAAATATGGTACATATGCATGAAGGAATATTACACAGAAGAACAAAATCATGGCCATCGTGGCAACATGGATGAAGCTGGAGACCATCGAACTAAGTAAGCTATCAGGTAACTGAATCCTGCTTGTTCTCACTGGTAAGTGAACCCCGGTCACTGGTCACATGGGCACAAGGGTGAGACTGGCAGACACCAGACACTGCTGGGGAGGGAGGAAAGGGTGATGGGGGGCCATGGCAGCATCCTGGGTACTTGGTCCATGATCAGTGGGAAAGAGGGCCAGCTACAAGTCTAAACCTCACCTGCATGCAACTCACTTATGTAGTGTGTGTGCGTGTGTGTGTATGTCTGTGTGCGTGTGTGTCACATGCCGGTCTACAAATTCAGGAAAACCAATTTCATATAAAAGTGAGCAAAGAAGAGCACTGAGCCCTAATTCTATTTTTAAAATAATAAAAAAGAATACACTATCATCACCAGAGATGATAAAAGCATCAGAAAAACATGCCTACCAAAAGATAAAGAGCATAATACACTACTCAAAATAAGCTACAGAAATTAAGACAATCATGAAAGACATGAAAGGAAATCACAATAAGAATTAGAAAAACTCGAGAAGTGTAGTAATAGAACTCAGTAAAGAATCAGAAATAAAAATAAAAATTCAGAAATGAAGACTAAACTAAAAGGAACACAAAGCAAATAAACACAACAATTAATTCCTTAAGGGATATAGATGATGAAAAGAGAAAAATTTTTTTAATGAAAAAGAAATAAAGATAAAAAGACAAACCACCAACTGGAGGAGAATAATTGTAAAATACTTTTGGACAAAGAGGTCTGTAATCTAAAATATATAGAGAACCTGAAGACTCAAGGATAAGAAAACAAGCAACCACATTTAAAAATGATCAGAAGGTCTGCACAAATAAATCCTTCCATAGAAGATGTATAAATAGCAAACATGCATGTGAAAAGATGTCAACACCATGTATTATTAGAGAACGGCAAATTGAAACAAATTATCTTAGCTATCACTGCACACCTTTTAGAATGGCTCAAATTCAGAACAGAGACAACACCAAGTGCTGGTGAGGAGGCAGAGCAGAGGGAACCCTCCGTCATTGCGGGTGGAAATGCAAAATAGCACAGCCACTGTGGAGCTGGGTAGCTTCTCGGAAACCTGACACAGTCTTGCCACGTTACACAGCAATCAAGGTCCTAGGTATTTACCCTGATGATCTGTAAAACGTTCGCCTAAAGACCCGGACGTGAATGTCTATGACAGGTTTCTTGATAACTGCCAAAAGTGAGATCTAACCAAGATGTCCTTCGGTAGGTGAACGGTTAAACAAACTGGGGCACATCCATACAATGAAATGTTACTCAGAGCCGGCTCGGGGCTCAGCCTGTCATCCCACGCCTGGGGAGGCTGAGTGAGTGGATGGCCTGTTCGAGACCCGTCCGGGCAACTTGGCGAGACCTCATCTCTACAATAAATCAAAACTCAGCCGGGTGTGGTAGCGCGCGCCTGTAATTCTGGCTGCTCGGAAGGCTGAGGCGGAAGGATCGCCGGAGCCCGCGGGGTCGAGGCTGCGGTGGCCGGGAGTGGACGCTGCACTCCAGTCTGGGCGACGGAGTGAAACTCCAACTCCAAAAAGATAAAAATAAGTAAGATACTTAAGGAAAAAATGTGAATCAAGAATGTTGTATCTGGCCAAATGGACTTTCACGTACAAAAGACACAGACAAATGTCATCCATAGGCAAGAGCTCCAGGAATACTGTTCCATGAGTCCTTCCTAAGGAATGTAATGGAGAACAATCGGATAACCCAAAGACCAGGGAGAAGCAGTGTCAGGACTTGAGAGCAATGCATAAGCATTCACCTATAGATCTAAGTGCAGGGTGGGGAGAGACCGTGTGTCCAGGCTGTATATGCCCTGTCACTGCAGCTGAAGGAGGACTGCAGAGAGAGTTGACAGGTTTTGATAATAAAATCAGTGCTGGCAATGCAGTGCTGGTCACCACGATGCTGCGGGTGTAGTGGGGCACGAAGCAGGTGAGCGATGATGTGATGCCCTAACTACATCGTCCTCCAACCCTGAGGGTTCTCGGCATGGAGAAAAGGAGCCACGGACTCTAGATGAGGTTAAGGGAAAGCCTGTCTGTATTCCTGAATTTGAATGACAAGGATCAGTGTAAACTCACATTTCATCTAAAAGATTTCTTTCTCCCTCCCTTTCTCTATCAATTCATTCATGTGTGTAATTTTCTTGCCCCATCCACTGAAAACCTGGAAACAATTAGCATATGACCCGATTAATGCTTTTTTTTTTCTCTTGAATTAGGGTCTCACTCTGTCACCAGGCCAGAATGTAGTGGCACAATTACGGCTCACTGCAGTCTTGACCTCCTGGGCTCAGGGGATCCTTCCACATCAGCCTCCCCAGTTGCTGAAACTACAGGCACGCCACCATACCTGGCTAATTTTTTAAATTTTTTTTTTTTTTTTGTAGAGACAAGTTCTTGCTATGTTTCCTAGGCAGTTCTGGGTTCAAGCAGTCCTCTTGTCCAGGCTTCTCAAAGTGCTGGGATTACGCACGAGCCACTGTGCCCGGCCAGATTATGCTCCTGAAATACCATTTTCCTCTAACAGAAACCAGGGCTTCTTGGGAGAAATGATGAGTCCACAGCTGGGCAGAAAATATTCAAAAGGAGCCTGGAACACCCTGTCATCCAAACAGCAAGGAAGGCATCGAGCCTACAGACGGTGTGTCGAAGGATTCGGGAGCCAGTCTAAGGAGCCCCTTGCCAGCCAAACGTGGGACAGTGTGAGCGCCAGAGTAACTGCAGGTACTGAACATATCAAAATGTTCGCACCCGAGGGTTAACAGTGATTTTTAAAAGCCTAAATGATCACCTTTAGAGGAAGAAAAGGAGGCCGGTCAGTATTTTTAAAGCTAGTGAATAAAGGGAAAAATCAGCAGGCATCCTGCATTTCCTATACAAAATGAACCACAAAGTGACTGAATCGTAGGTGACGGCTCATAAGCTTCTAATGATAGAAGCTTCTTGCAAATAAACAAGGAATGACGGAACAGGAATCTCACCAGTTGGCAACAACTCATTAACAGATCCAGGCACTAAGCATTAATGTTGCCAACATAAAAAAAAAAAAGAAAGAAAAAGAAAAAAGGGACAAACATCATGTTCTTCCTGATGCAGTAAAATATAAGTGGTCCTGTTGGGGGAAAAAAATTAAGCCTTAATTTGATTAATTCCTCAGAGTCAACCACCAAGAGTTAACCAGGTATGGTGGCGTGCCTGTAGTTCCAGCAACTGGGGAGGCTGATGTGGAAGGATCCCCTGAGCCCAGGAGGTCAAGACTGCAGGAAACAGAAAGGACAGAGGACCAGCACAGTGACACAATCAGCACAATTCAGATCACAGGAAACTCTTCCAGAGTTTGATCCAGTTTCTTCAATAACTAAGCTATACAGGAGCTTAGTATAGCTCAATTGATCCAGTTTCTTCAATAACTAAGCTATACAGGAGATTTCTGTTTTTATTTTTTTAATTATTTGCATGTATTACCGATATACATTTTTTATTGAAAAATAAAATGGTATTTGCTGGCATCCAACTAGACTGTGGACTCTTTAAAGGCATGGACAAGGTCTCTTCATCTATGTATCCTCAGTCCTTGTCACACTGACGGGCAATTTGTAGGTATTCAATCAACATTCTCTAAATAAATGAGTCAATGAAATGACCAAAACAGTCTTAACTTAGTGACAAGAGATGCAGGAAATACTAGGGATAACTTGAAAAGAAGTCACTTTTAAAAATGGCTACTCTTATACAGACTTTGACGCTGATGGCTTTGATCGAATGCGGTCCTAAATCTATTGCTACCTAGAGAAAAATGTCTTTTACTAATACATCTTCGATTTCCCACCACCTTTAAGATATACTTATAAAGAGAAATGCCGAATAATAACAAAGTCTGTAGCGATATTACTTTTTTTTAAACCTAAGCGTATACTCCTCAGTTTCATCACTATAAAACCTGGCTCTGAGATTTCTTACATATAAAACAAGCAGGTAAGATGACTGCCTCACACGCACAGGACACATGGGAAACAGACCTGCATTTACAGGTAGGACCTCCGTCTCCTACTCAAATTCCATAAAAGGTCTAGACAGTCAGAGGAACCAATCAAGCAGCCATCATCAAAAAACTGTGAGTTCTATGGAAGCAGCACCAACTTACCCAGAACAACTCGGAAGTCCTGACCATCCATCTGTAACATCCAAGTATTAGTGGTTTTCGACCTGTTCTCCATATACTTCTTGAGACTCTTCCCATTGATCTCCAGAGTATATTCATAAGCGAAACCACTGACAGCATCTATATTTATGGTCGCTTTAGTCTTTGCAGCTCCAACGTAGAAGGTTTCTTTGCCCACTAATTTGAACATCCATTCTTTTCTTATCTCTTCCTAGGTAATAAAATTCAAACGTTTAAAATACACTATGGAAGAGACACGAATATTTAATTTTAGAAATGTTAAATGAACAAAGACAATGCTATTTACATATGATTATATGAATTCATGATGCCAAGGTTTTAGAAAATAAGGTCATTTTAAGTTTAAATATTAGATGTCATATTCTATGGGTTATATAACTATTATTAGTTTGCACAGCAAAATTATACAGGCCAAAAACAAGAAAATAACTACTACAAAGAAAAAGCCCTGAATTTGGCCAGGCTAGGTGGCTCAGCCTGTAATCCCAGCAATTTGGGAGGCCGAGGCGAGTGGGCTGCCTGAGCCCATGGGTTTGAGACCACCCCGGGCAACTTGGTGAGATCTTGTCTCTACAATTAAAAAAAAAAAATTAGCTGGGCACGGTAGCGCGCACTGTCATTCCAGCGACTTGGAAGGCTGAGGTGGAAGGATTGCCGGGGCCCAGCAGGCGAAGGCTAGGGTAGCTGTGAGTGTGCCACTGCTCTCCAGCCTGGGCAGAGTGAGACTCCAACTCCAACTCCAAAAAAAAAAGAAAAAAAGAAAAAGCCCTGAATTCACATATGAAGAGGCTACATTAACAAAATCAGCTTTCTCTGTATACCATATTTTAAGAGTAAGTTTTTTCCTACCTTTTCATCTACATATACTACTCGTTTGCCTGATGTGGTCCCATGTTCAAATTTAATCTTGTGGACTCCATCACTTAAAGCAACGTCCCAAACAGCTACGAGATCTGCCATTTTTTCCAGGCTATAAGGAGGGCTAAAGGAATAAAATAAAACAATTACAATGGGACAAACAGTAATGAAATGACCGATTAATCCTTCCAAGATGGGAATATCAGGTTATTAAAACTCCTAAAATGTCAAACTACTACAGCGATATTACCTAGACTCCGACTTACTTGCATGTAGCTACTTTCTCCCTCTTCTTCACTCTTCCTGTTCAGGTACCATAAACAGGCATACAGTCCGATTAGTTCTAAAAAAAGCCACCTCAACGGTAATAGGATTAAGACTCCATCAGTTTATCCTGGATGGCATTCCAGGCCAGGCAACAGTCCAGCACATGGAAAGGTCAGCAAACAGCCCTTCCTCTTCCCCGACCCCCCCCACCCCGCTTAAAAGCCAGAGGATTTGATCTATCTTTTTCAGATCTCATCACTCCAAAATAAGAACTCTCTAAACCCTCCACACTTAAATGATGAGGGATTTGTTTTAACAAAAAGGGTTCTAATTTATCATACTAAGGCTGGGGGGAAAAAGCAGTCATGGAAGAAATGTCCCAAAACAGAGATGAAAATGATTTTTAAATGTCATAAAAAATAATAATTCTTGACATTACTACAGAAAATCTTATTTATTTATATTTACTTATTTATTTATTTGAGTTAGAGTTTCACTCTGTCACCCAGACTGGAGTGCAGTGACCGCTCCTGGCCACCACAGCCTGGACCTGCTGGGCCCTAGTGATCCTTCCGCCTCAGCCTTCCAAGTAGCTGGAATTACAGGCACGCACTACCACCCCCAGCTAATTTTTGATTTATTGTAGAGATGAGGTCTTGCCAAGTTGCCCAGGCGGGTCTCGAACCCATGGGTTCAGGCAATCCACTCACCTCGGCCTCCCAAAGCGATTACAGACTGAGCCACCGAGCCTGGTCAGAAAACCTTATTTAAAGAAGTTAAAGATTCTGGTTTGTCAAAAATTTCTGGCACAATTTAAACATTTTAATACTAATCTTTTTTTTTTTGAGTTGGAGTCTCACTCGGTCGCCCAGACTGGAGTGCAGTTGGCTGCTCCTGGCCACCGCATCCTCGACCTGCTGGGCTCCGGCGATCCTTCCGCCTCAGCCGTCCGAGTTGCCGGAATTACAGGTGCACACTACCACGCCCAGCTGATTTTTTGATTAATTATAGAGATGAGGTCTTGCTGCCCAGGCGGGTCTCAAACCCATGGTCTCAGGCAATCCACTCACCTCAGCCTCCCAAAGGCGCGGGATTACAGGCTGAGCCACCGAGCCCGGTTTAATACTAATATTTTTATATAAAATATATATTTCCTATGTGAATGGCATGTATGACATATGATACACATGCAACATTTAACTAGCATTTTGATATTGACATATCTTTTTAGGTTTAGGAGAAGTAATATTTACTGCAGTAATAATGGTCATAGCTAACAGCTATTAAGTGCTTACTGTGTGCCAGTCACTATTTTAAAAGCTTTAAATATATAAACTCATGGAATCACCATGAGCTAGAGGGTACTGTCAATATCCTTATTTTACAGATGAGGCCCAGAGAGGCAAAGGGTATGCCAAAGGTCAAAATGACAGAGATGGGACTTAGACCTGGGACTCCGGCTCCAGCCTCTTCTCCTAACTACATCTTCCTTTGTTTACCCTGATCTCCTTTGTATCCTCCAAATCAGAGATGGCAAATGGATTTTCTGTGATTCTGAAGGTGTTTCCAAGAACCCTGTGCTGAGAGGAGTTAGGGGACCTCATAGCGAGGTTCTGCAGAGAAGGATGCCACGTTGCTGGCTGCCACCTCCATGCCAGGTATTCACCACCCCTGCTCGATCATGAAAAAGCAGAACCTTGCATTCTGCAGTTTTACTAATGTGCTTTTACTGAACTAGCCAGGATACATAACTTTTCTGAATGAACATAGCAATCCTGAAAACGTCAAGGGCTAGTTCTATTGCAACGAAAGACATTTACCTTTCATCATCTTCAAAGATAGGACTGTCATCTCCAGATGCCATGGTTGGCAAAACAGTCTTTAGTCCAATTAGCAGCCAGAAAAGAGAAAAGCAGAATTGCAGCAGAGAAAGATTGAGAGCAACAAAGATGACATCCACAGAGAGTTTTTCTAACTTTGCAAAATCCACTTCATAAATTGCATGCAGCTTCTTATCAAAAACAGCTTTCACATACAATAGAATTGCAATCTTTAATTTTTTTGTACAGAAAGAATTTAAATCATGCAGATCGGTCAAGCATGTTTTCTGTTAGGGATTTAAAATTTCTTAAAACCAGAAAGCAAACTTGAGTGTCATCCAAGTACTGTAGCATCTCAGAGCTGCAAGAGACCCAGGAGACTCCCTGGTCCCCTGCTTCTCACAACGAGGCACTAGGAGCCCCAAGGGCATGAGGCAAGTGAGGGAATAGGGCAAGCTCCAAGGCAAACACAAGGCAGCCCTGGGAGCACCAACCCTACAGGATGGAAACTCACATAAAATGCAATCAACCTCCCTATGACATTTTACAAGGCTACTCTATGGTGGAACGTAATTTTTAAAATCATTTGTTTGCTTAAACTTCAAAGAACTGACGAGTCTGCAGGAAGCAGCCAGGGATGTATACTGGTTGGTCTTTAAAAGCAATTCCATGTGCCCACTTACTAAGCCCATTTTACCAGTGCCAACAGTGAATCCACACAAGTTATATGGCTTGCTCAGGTCACTCGCATGGTTCACGCCAGAGCTGGAGCCCAGGACTGCGCAATGAACCAAACAGCTACCGGGAGGCAGTGCCAAGGAAGTTTTACCAAAATCAGAAGTGCACACACATTCACGAGCACAGAAAACTACTCCATACCATGCCCAAAGGTGGCACCCCTGTCAATCTGTCCTAAATTCCACTATCCTGTGCTCCCAAGATCTACCCTAGTTTAGCCCTTTCCTTAACAAGCGGCTTTTCCCTGCAGATGCTCAAGGGTGCTTTCTCCTTGTTAAAAAGGGAAGACTGCCATCCCTCTGTGGCTGGAAGCAGCCAGAAGCCATAAATTGCTAAAAATATGTTAAAGAAGAGATTAGCACCCATAAAAGCAATCCAGCAGGCAAGAAACACTAAGAACTTCAGAACAAATACAAGGGAAAGGTTTGGACCTAAAATAAATCTCGCTTCTTTTTTATTAGCACCATACAAAGGTGTGAATTTTTCCAGTCTTAGAAGGCCCTAAGATATCCCCTATGAAACTGGAGGGTATCCTGCAACTATAAAAATGAAAAGAAATACATGGCCATGTAATAAGCCAAACTACGTAATACAAACTTCGATGAGGCACCCTTTGTCATCAGGGTGGATTTAGGGACATCATTCAAATTTTTTGCTCTTCAACTTTTAGCGACTCCAGCTAGTTCCATAATGCAGCATTCAAACCTGAAAGAACTGCCCTGTGTTCTTTGATAAGGACCTTGAAGTATTACGAAATCACACTAAGCCACAGCATGGTATCCCCTTAAGTGTAATACCTTTTCATGGAGAAGTACAAAAGGTAACACAACAAATTGGAAAGGCGGCAAGACATCAAGATCACATTTTTAAAAATTTCTCTAAACCATCAACAACCATTCACACATCCATTTTGAGAACTGTCTAAGAAATAGCAATTTTTTACTCTCCAGTAATTGATAGTGTACATGAGAGTTAAGAAGGAATGAATTACAAGCAATAATAAGAGTAAGTGCTGAAGTGATTATCTGGCAAATGTGATGCAATCTGATATCACTTATATAACTCTATATCAAAATTGATGTTGCTTTGGAAAAAAAAATTTTTTTTTTGAGACGAGGTCTCGCTATGTTACCCAGGCTGGTCTCGAACTCCCGGGCCCAAACAATCCTCTCACCCCAGCCTTTCAAAGTGATGGGATTACAAACGTGATCCACCACGCAGGCCTGATGTTTCTTCTTAAACACAAATTTACAGATCAATATAAAATTTGATAACTCTCTTTACTTGTTTCTCTAAAGGCCTGATTAAATTAAAAGTCTACTTTCATACAAAGTTAGTAATATTTCCATTTTTCTTGTCCATGCTATCCACTATTTTAAGCAAAAGACTAAAAAACTTTTATAATTAACAATTATAAGATGATTTTATGATTATCCCTAGGAACATGACTAGCATACTAAGCTAATCAAAGGTTGCAGGGCTTCAAATTCAGTATCATTTTCAAAGGCAGAGATCAACTGAAAAAAGTGCTTTCTACACAAAGATTCAAGTGAGCACTACCTTGCAACAGCCATAACCAAAAGATAAGAAAGGCATAGACTTTTCAGCCCTGGAAAAGAAAAACAATGAAATGGCCCAAGTCCAGCAGCTCTCAGCCATTATGGGGAAGTCAAGGGAACAGACACCCCAGACGCCCTCTGTGTGGCCAGTCCGGGGCTTATTATCTACCCGATGTTCTAACGAGGCCATGGAGGGCCCCCATAGTGCCCAGAGTGCAGAAACTTCACACGATCCCACCACAAAGAACAAACCGCATCAAACAAATCCCATCCAAAATTTAAGAACAACGTACACAATGAACTCCGCCTCCTGCTTTCAGGTTTCTCTGTATCCCAGAAGTCTCATTAGTTCTACCTGTCACTTGACGTATCTCACTCCCATCTCAACACTTTACAGTGTCATTGGATTGCTCTCTGGCCCCAAAGCAGAAGAGCGCCTGCAGCAGACCCTCGGCACAGTGGCTCCCATTTGCAAGCCCAGCACTTAGGGAAGCTGGGCAGGAAGACTGCTTGAGACCAAGGGTTGAGCCCCCATCTCTAAAAAAAATAAAAAGCTTGGTCGGGCATGGTGGCACACACCTGTAGTCCTAGTGACTTGGGAGGCTAAGGCAGAAGGATTGCTTGAGCCCAGGAGTTCAAGGCTTCAGTGACCTGCAATTGCACTTCCAACCTGGGCAACAGAGCGAAACCCTGGCTCTAAACAAATTTAATTTAATCTGACTTTTAATAAAAGAAAACAATCTTTTTTTTTTTTTTTTGAGTTGGAGTCTCACTCATTCGCCAAGGCTGGAGTGCAGTGGCCGCTCCCGGCCACCGCAGCCTCGACCTGCTGGACTCCGATGATCCTTCTGCCTCAGCCTTCTAGTAGCTGGAACTATAGGCACACGCTACCACGCCCAGCTACTTTGATTTATTGTGGAGATGAGGTCTCGTCAAGTTGCCCAGGCGGGTCTCGAACCCGCGGGCTCAGGCAATCCACTCACCTCAGCCTCCCAAAGGCGTGGGATTACAGGCTGAGCCACCGAGCCCGGCTAGAAAACACTCTTACTAGCCACAAATGCAACAGAGTTGTTGTTGTCTGTCATTCATATCAGGGAAAAAAAAATTAAAATGACTCGCCAGTTCACATGATGTGCATATAAAAACAGGCTCACTGATGAGTCTTTTAGGGAAACTTGAAATAAAACTGAGGTTTAAGCTGGAGGTCTAAAACAAAGGGAATGTGGCTAAGAATAATTATTCTAAAACCTCAACAGACACGAAAGCCAGAGATCAATATTTATTCAAAAAGACTTTAAAATACTCTGGATTGCCCACTGATTTTTCATTTTGAGAATATCCTCACATAAAAGTCAACTTACTTCCTCCATAACTGATGACTTCTCTGGGTGGTCTATACAAAGTCATACCAGCCTAAGCAAACATAATCTATTCATTCAACAAACTGTTAAATGCCTTCTAAGTGTCCTTGCTGGGGCACTGTGGCTCACACTTTGGGAGGTCACAGTGAGAGGACCACTTAAGCTCAGGAGTTCGAGACCAGACTAGGAAACGTAGCAAAACCTGGTCTCTTAAAAAAAATTAAGAAATTAGCTGGGCGTAGTGGCATGCTTGTACTCGGAAGGCTGAGGCAGAAGGACAGGTTGAATATGGGGAGGATGAGGCCATCGTGAGCTCTGATGGCACCACTGCGCTCCAGCCTGGGCGACGGAGTGAGACCCCGACTCAAAAAGCAAAGCAAAACAAAAAAGTGCCCTGAAAGCACTCCAAAGACAGATGCAGATGGTCTCCACTCACAATGGTTCAACTTAATAGGGTGCAAAGGAGTTGTGTGTTCAAGAGAAACCAGACTTCAAGGACCCAGAAAACCTGTTCTTCACTTTCAGGGCAGTATTGAGTCCATTGCATGAGACATTCAATATGTTATCATACAATAGGCTTAGTGGTAGAGGCTTCTGCCCAACTGTAGGCTAATGTGCTCTGAGCATGTTTAAGATAGGCTAGGCTACGCTATGGTGTTTGGTGGGGCAGGTGTATTAAATGCATTTTCATCGTATGATGGGTTTATTGGAATGAAACTTCATCATATGCTGAGGAGCATCTGTACGTGTTTTTAAAAATTCTCTATGGTTTTATACGATTTGCATTAGCTATGCTTGATTTTCTCAAGGAGAGGTATACCTTCACAACAAAAGTTTTATGGTAAATCTCCAATCTTCCATTTTTTTCATTCAACAAACACGTGTTTGAGCCCAGTATCAAGAGAACTGTATTAGGTAGGGGCTGTCAGCAATTTGAAGAATATGTTTTAGCCTCAATGAGTGTATTCATTCCAATTAGTATTCAGTCTACATAAACACAAAGTACCCTTTCCAGTTTCAAAACTTACTATAAAGCTGCAATAATAAAAGGTGCCGATATAAGGATAGACATATAGACCAACGGGACAGAATTGTGACTTCAGAAATAAACCCATATATCTATGGTCAATTAGTTTTTGACAAGGGGGCCAATTCTATTCAGTGGGAGAAAGGATAGTCTTTTCTACAGATAGTATGGGGGAAAACTGAATTTCTACATGCAAGAGGAAGAAGATGGATCCCTAGCACACAACATATACAAAATTACCTCAAAATGGGACAACAATCTAACGATGAGAGCTAAAACCACAACACTCTTAGATGAAAACATGGGGGTAAATCCACATAACCTTGGATTTGGCAATGGATTCTTTTTTATTTTAATTTTTAAAAAATTATT